GGACGAGGAGGAGGAGGAGGAGAAGAGGGAGGACAGAGAGGATAAAATGAAGTAAAAAATATGAAAATGGCCCTGGCTGGTTTGACTCAGCAGTTAGAGCAACAGCCCACGGACCAGGGAGTCCCGGGTTGGTTCCCACGGAGGGCACATACCTCGGTTGCAGTATGTCCCTGGCAACCACTCGATGTGTTTCTCTCACATCGATGTTTCTCTCTCTCTCTTCCTCCCTCTCTCCTTTCCGCTCTCTCTGAAGATAAATGCAAAAAAATGAAAATGGCAATAACAATATACTGATCAATACTTACTTTAAATATAAATGGATTAAATGTTCCAATCAAAAGACATAGGGTGGCTGGATAAATAAGAAAAAAAGACCCACACATGCTGACTAGAAAAGACCCACTTCAGAGGCAAAGACACAAACTGAAAGTCAGCAGATGGAAAAACATACTTCAGCCTGGCCGGTACGGCTCAGTGGTTGAGCATCGACCCAGGCACCAAGAGGTTGCCGGTTCGATTCCCCGTCGGGGCACCTGCCCAGGTTGTGGGCCAGATTCTCAGTGGGGGGCATGCAGGAGGCGGCCAATTGATGTTCTCTCATCAATGTTACTAGCTCTCTCTCCCTCGCCTTTCCTCTCTCTCTAAAAATCAATGAAGAAAAAAAAAATTTTTTAAAGAAAAACATACTTCATACAAATGGAAACAATACTAATATCAGCAAAATGGACTTTAAAACAAAAACTATAATAAGAGACAAAGCCGGACATTTCTAAATGATAAATCAATCAATCAAACAAAAAGATATAACTCTTGTTGACATTTACGCACCAACACAGGAGTGCCTAAATACACAGAGCAAACACAGACTGACACAAAGTCAGAGGCTGACAGTAACACAGCATAGCAGAGAACTTTAAAATCTCACGGACATCACTGGGTAGATCAGCCAGACAGAAAACAACTGGGAAACAGTGGCCTTAGTGACACATTCAACCATATGGATTTAACTGATACTTTTAGAACATTCCACCCCAAAGCAGCAGAATATACATTCTTTTCAGGTGCACACAGAACATTTTGAAGAACAGACCACGTGTGAGGAAACAAGACAAGTCTCAGAAAACTTAAAAGAACTGAAATCATAGCAAGCGTAAGACAACATAAGACAACGACAGCATAAAACTGGAAATTAATTACAGGAAGAAAACTGAAAAACACACAGACACATGAAGGCTAAATATCATGTTGCTAAACAGTAAATGAGTTAACAATGAGATCAAGAAAAAACTCAAAATATAAACTAAAGAAAATTAAAATTTAAAAACAACAACCGAAATCTGTGGTGCACAAGTAGTTGTAAGAGGAAAAGTCATATAAATACAGGCCTACTTTGCCTTGGCCAGTTTGGCTCAGTGGTTGGAACGTCAGCCTGCAAACCAGGGAGTCCCAGGTTTGGTTCCCGCTAAGGGCACGTACCAAAAAAGAAAAAAATACAGGCCTACCTTAAGAAACAAGAAAAATCTAAAATAAATAATTTTAAACTTAAATCTATAGGAACTAGAAAATAACAAGAAACAAAGCCCAAAGACAGTAGAATAAGAAAAATAATAAATATAACGGGAAATAAACCCATGCCTATATGGTCAATTAATCTATGACAAAGAAGACAAGAATATATATACAAAGGGGTAAAGACAGTCTCTTCAATAAATGGTGTTGGAAAAACTAGACAGACACATGCAAAAAAATGAAACTAGATCACTTTTTTCTATCATCATCATATTCACAAATAAAATCAAAATGGATTAATGACTTAAATGTAAGACCTAAAATCATAAAACTCCTAGAAGAAAACACACGCAGGTAAGTCTTTGATATTACTCTTGGTTATATATTTTTGAATAAATAAACAAATAGGGATTAGGAAATTCAAATGGACAATTGCCAAATAGTCACAGAGATGTCAAGTACAACACAGGAAATACAGTCAGTAATATTGTAACAACTATGTATGTTGCAAGATGGGCTCTAGAGTTATCAGGAGGGTTATGTAAATGTCTAACCACTATGCTGTACACCTGAAACTAATATAATATTGAATTTCAACTGTGATTTTAAAAAGACTGGTTTAATGTTTTTGAAAAGATAACACGTGAAGGAGAAGAAACAGAAGTGGAAAAGCACTGGCAGAGACCGTGGGGAAAGGCTCCATGAGGACATCTAACAGGATCTCCACCCTAAAGTCCAAGCCCAATTTCTTGATCTTCCCTCCAACTGCAGGAGTATATGTGCGCGCACACGCGCGCGCACACACACACACACACACACACACACACAAAATAAAGTCTTTCTCTGTATTATTTATTTCACTTAGTATAATACCCTCTAGGTCCATCCATGTTGTCACAAATGGTAAGATTTCATTCTTTTTTATGGCAGAGTAATATTCCATTGTATATACATACCACTTCTTCTTTATCTTATCATGTATATATGCAGCCCCCTGACTCAGTGCTTAGCTTTTATTCTACTAGCTGCTCAAACCAAGCAGTGATGGTCTCTGGATTCCTCCTCTTTGCATCCAATCTGTCAGCAAATCTATTAGCAAATGGTCAGATCTGACTAGTCCTATCACCCCACTGCCTCTGGCCTGGGTCCAGCCAATACCCATCCCCACTGGCCTGGATTTCTGCCACAACCTTTGCAATTATTCTTCTGGCTTGCAGTCTTCTCCCCTCCAGACAGCAACGAGGATAGCATTTTTATCCTCACCCAGGGACACTTTTTTTTTTCCGATATTTTGTTCAGATAGAATGGGAGGGAGAGAGAGAGAGAGAAACATCAACATGAAAGGGACACATTGAGTTGCTGCCACCCACACGACCAACCAGGGACGGGGACAAACTGCAACCGAGGTACATGCCCTTAGCGGGAACCGAACCCAGATCTCTCTGGACCACAGGCCGACGCTCCAACCGCTGAGCCAAACCGGCCAGGGCGAGGATGGCTTTTTTAAAAGATTTAAGTCACATGTTCGCTTTGCCACCACATGTACTTTCTGGAATGATGCGGGTATTAGCACGGCCTCTGTGCAAGGATGGCATGCACATTCATGAAGCATTTCATGTTTTTCTGTAATTTAACATTTTTTAAATAAATTTTAATTAAAAATAAAATATGTCTCATGGGGGTCACTTAGAATTATTTACATTAAATGCACCTTTCTTTATATAACGTGATTCACAGTGTTTTAAATGGTGAAAAAATGCAATAGGTTAAATCAAATAGTGTCCATCTTCTGGTCAAAACCCTCCACTCCGCAAAGAAGAAGAACGTAAGCTCTTCCTGCCCTTGGAACCCCTGCACAATTGACCCCTGCTGTCTCCGAGCCTCGCTCGCGTGGTCTCCCCTGCGGCTGCTTGAGCTGCTTGGGCTCCTCACTGCTCCTAAACGAGCTGACAATGACCCACAGCAGAGGCACCGAGCCCGTGGTTCCCTGTGCCTGCCGCTCTCTTCCCCGGGCGTCTGCTGCCCCCTCGCTGCTGTGAATCAGGCACCTGCTCAAAGGTAACCCTCCTGGAGCAGTCTCCCATGACCCGCCGCTGGAAAGCAAGGCCCACGTAAACCCGTCCTCAGTCCGTCACCACTCACGTCGCCAGGCAGTTACAGTATGTGTCTGTCCTGTCTTCCCCTAAGCAGGAGCCCATGGAACAGGACCTTACACTGCTGCACTTAAAGCAAGGCCCGGTCCAGAGCAGCTGCGTGGGTGCCAAACAGGCTGTGACACAGGGAGCTGCTGGCCCGAGGAGAGACGGCGGGCAGACAGCAGTGACCTGCCCTCGGACCTGCGGCCACGGCTTTAGCCAGACCTCCCCGCAGACCAGTCAGCTTCACCGCATGACTCTTTCCAGAGCAAAGAAGATCCGACCACCATCCGACAGCCCCCGAGGTCTGCTTTGTCACAGAACAAATGAGAACCAGTGAACGAGTGGCCTCAGGAACTAGCGCCGTCCACAAATTCACGGCACTGATCCCCAAAACCCCAGAACCTTCTGAAGCCCAGACTACGCCCATTATTGCAGAATAATCAACTAACCATGTGATTCACTGATACAGGATCAAGGACACTGGTGTCCTTCCACAGACACAGAACAATGCCTGACACAAAGCAAGGTAACTGGAGAAGAGGAACTCAGGTGAGAGTTCGACAGTCTCAGGTGCAGAACGTCACCTACAGCAGCGGTGCCGAGCCTTGGCGTCAAACAAAAGTCACCCGCGGCCCTGGCCCGTGTAGCTCAGTGGTTAGAGTGTCGCCTGTAGACCCAAGGGTCATGGGTTTGATTCCGGTCAAGAGCACATGTCTGGGTTGTAGGTTCCATCCCTGGCCTGGTGAGGCCCTGCAGGAAGCCACCAACAGATGTGTCTCTCACATCAATGTTTCTCTCTCCCTCCCTCCCTCCCTTCCACTCTATCTAATGAATAATGGGGAAATAGCCTCAGGTGAGGATTAACAACAACAAAAAATCACCTAGGAAGTTTTTTGTTTTGTTTTTTAATCCTCACCTGAGGATACTTTTATATTTTGTCTTCAGATACAGCTGGAGGGAGAAAGAAAGGAGAAAGAGAGAGAAACATTGACCTGAGAGAGACACATCGACTGGTTGCCACCCTCACAACCCCAGCTGGAGCCGGGGACAAACCACAACCAACATACGTGCCCTTAGCGGGAACTGAACCTGGGACTCTCTGGTCCGTGGGCCGATGCTCTAACCACTGAGCCAAACTGGCCAGGGTACCTAGGAAGCTTTTTAAAAGCCTTCTCCTCCAGACACACCCCAAACTAGTTAGACTGTCATTTCTGGGAGCGGGAGCCAGGAATGGGGTTTTCAAACACGCCTCCAAATGTGCGCATATGTGCAGCTGTTACTGAAAACCAACACCGAGAGGGCCAGGGATGCTGACCTAAGAAAGCAGGGGAGGGGCACCCCTGAGCTCCTTACCTGACCAGGGTGTCACTGCCAGCCCCTGCTGGGCTGTAATAGAGCACGCTCTCCAAGGACAGGGAGAACTTCAACCCCTCCACCTCCGAGATGTATAAGTTGGTGCGGTTGTTACTGTGACTGACACACACAAACACCTGGTCCTCCGAGGCATCCGCGATGTAATATTCCTAATAAACAATAAAAATACATAAGCCAAGCAATGTGTACGTCCTGTGGGCTCTCCCTCTCCACACTGAGCGAGGCCTCCAACACCCGTGACGAATGTGGGCCCACAGCCCCAGACAGCGGAAGCTCCCCAACCTGGGCCAAGAAGCTGCTGCTCTCCTTTTGGGGAACAGAGGCTGCTCTGCAGCGGGAACTCTCTCCCTGGAAAATGGGGCACAAAGTAAAAATGGGCCACTGAACTCCACACGTGACCTAAAAACCTCCTTTTCCTCAACAATGTCCCCCTTTTTCCCATGAGACCTATCATTGGTACAAAGTACAATCCGGATCAACATGACTGTCCTCTCCTTTTCTCTCCAAGGTGACGACAGGAAGGTGAGCACGCAGAGCGCCGAGAACTGACGGAGTGTTTCCTGTCGCACACCCCTCTGAGCTCCTGGCCTCCCTCCACGCAGCTCTGGTGGCAAGGCCTCGGGGGCCCCCCGCTCCCTCTGGCATCTCCTCGGATGCACCCAGCCCACGCTGATCTTGCCTATCCGTCACCAGGTGTCACACAGGCTGCCTTTAACATACGGCTGCCTCCTCTGCGCAGTTCTGTCTCGTAAATGGTCTGTGTCTGAAAGGCGGGACCAAACCGTGTGCCTTTTCTGAACCCGGACGCCTGCGTAACACAGCGCTGCTGTCCTTCCGCGCTGGCCCCCGAGCCCACTGACTTCGCCGCTCAAACCCTCTGCCACCCTTTCCCACTGCAGCAACCTGAGGCTCCTGCTCGGCTCACGGCACACACTGAGGACAGGAGAGTCAGACCACGACGTCCGAAGCATCATGGCTCTCTCTAGAGACCCTTCTGAAGTGACTTCAGAGAACCTGGTCCAACACCCACCGGCATGACATCCCCACCGCACCCCTTCTCTGACCACGGCATGAGGACAGTGACACTTCTTCCCACCCCCAAAGAGCCCCACTCACATTGATAGGATGTCTGGTGACAAACTGGGCGGCTCGCATGGGCTTCCGGTCGAAGGACACCCAGAGCTGCAGAGAGGGTGGCTGCGGACTGCCCAGGAGATGCTGCCAGAAAGAGGAGGAGACAGTCAGCTGTGCTACATTGTATGTAACCACTCATCACACAACAGGGAGTGCCCTGCAAATACACGTTTACGACGTCTGCTGTCTCTGGACAACTTGGGCTCTGCTGCTTTATCTGGACCGGATCTGCAATAGCGTCTAGGTCCTCCCTGGATACTAGGCAAGGAGGAAGGACAATGGCATGACACGAGACCTCGGGCTTGGGGAAGGGATGGAGGCTGACAGGTGCGGCAGAGCCGAGAGCTCCCAAACCATCACAGGGTGAGATCAGCCACACCCCATGCATCCGAAACCTATTCCCTTCTCCATTATATTCCTATTTCCAGATTATAAGAACATCTGAGTCACAGGGCTTTAATTTGTACCAAGAATGGAGGAAACTGTCATTAATCCAAGTTTTCCATCTTTTAATACTTCTCATGAATTAAGGTATTTTGCTAGAATGTTTTCCTTAGCAGAGCATAGAGGGTTCCACATGATGTTGACCACATCACACTGCATTTTGCAGGCATTAAACCATAACTGGAATCTTAAAAATATGTAGAAAAGTACTAGATTAAGAGGAGATCACTACATGCCTCTAAGTCTCATCTTATTTATCTACAGATTGGGAAGCTGATTTGGATCAGGGCTTCTCTCCAGATGGTTAAACGGTCCAGGAACCCTGTAAACATATACAGATGCACTCATTCATTTAGCTAGAGGGTCTACACCTTTTACCAGATTCTCCAAAGGGTCGATGATTCAAAAGCGGACAAGAAGCACATGAAAGCTCTGTGTGGTTTTGCAGTTCTGAGATGGAGACAACCCTCACGCAGACAGTCACACCCAGGACTGGTACACCCGCTGGGATGCTGGGATCCCTCGCCAGAAGTGTTCGTTTGGTTTCATTATCCTCGACTATTGGCCACCGTTTATTACAGGTTTTAAATTCCTACGAGTAAGGAACACACCGATTTCTCCAGCCGCAGTCTAACAACAGCATGCCGTGGTCACGTGCACCAACAAGCACTGCGTGAAGAGCAAGCTCACGACCACAAAGTCATTTTTTATTCTTTTGAGCAATATTCAAACCACCACGGAACAAAGGGTTAAAAGTAGTTTGTTTTAAAGAAGCCAGGTAATGGCCAGTTTGGCTCAGCAGTTACAGCGTTGGCCTGCGGACCGGAGAGACCCAGGTTCAGTTCCTGCTAAGGGCACGCACCTCGGTTGCAGTTTGTCCCCGGCCGCAGTTGGGGTCGGGTGGGTGGCAACCTCTTGATGTGTCTCCCTCACATCGATGTTTTTCTCTCTCTCTCTCTCTCTCTCTTCCCTCTCTCTCCCTCCTACTCTATCTGAAGATAATTGCAAAAAATGTCCTCGGTGGGGATAAAAAAAGCAGCAGCCAGGTGAGAAGTGTGAGAGAGAGCTTTCTCCCAACGGCACCGGGAGCCATGTTAACGGTCTGTGCCCAGCACGGGGTCACAGGCAATGATGGACCTATTAGAGCTGTAAAATGCATTACCTGAGTAAGAGAAAGTTCCCTGAAAAATAGGTATGAATTCCAAAACCCCTTCTTGAGCCAATAAAATTGTACAGATGTGTATAAAAGATAGAGTTTGAGTCATCCTATATACATCCTTAAGAATGAATATATATGAATATACAGATATCAATGAAACACATATTTTTATGGTACTTCCTACTATGGTCACAGTCTTAGAAAGGAGCTGTTTCTCTCAGTGACCCCCAGACCCATCGTTAGTTAAATGTTTGTAATGATGCTGTTGGGAGGCCTGAGAATACAGAAGGTATACCAAGGCCAGTCTGCCCCCATAAATGCAAAATCACAGAATACAAAGGTCATAAAAAAGACCTCAAAACCAATCCATCCCACTTCCTTCTGGAAGAATTATTCTTAAATCTGGAAAATTCAGGTTCACTCATAATGTATTCTTAAAGCATTAGTATATTTTACTGCCATCAAGAAGAATATTAACAACTATGACACTCCATTGATTGTAAGATGTATTATAAGGCCCTCGTACTTCTTCTTAATAAGTTGTTGCTTGCTAAGTTGTTCTTTATAGTTATTTTAACAGCAAAACATGCTCACAACAGTATGGCAGGTATAAGGTGAAGTTCTGCTCTCTACTCTCTACTCTGAAAGATGGGGGTTCTCCACTGCTGGCTGCCGGGGCGGAGCTGGGTCACACGACTCGGTAAAAAGGGCGAAGAATTAAGAAGTACAGGTTGGTAGTTACAGTCACAGGAATGTCAAGTACAGCAGAGGAATTCAGTCAACAATCCTGAATAACTACGTATGGGGCCAGGCAGGTACTGGAAATGTCAGGGGGTCACTCTGTAAATTATATCATTACCCAACCACGATGCTATGCACCTGAAACTCATGTAAAATAATATTGAATGTCAACTGTAATGGAAATTTTTTTTTTAATGTTAAAGACTAGGGTTCTCTTCCTTTGGTGCAGCTTGATGTGGTGACGTGGCTGAGCACTGTGAGCAGAAGCTGTGGGCTGGGTCCCTGGAAGGTCACTTAGGGCCTGAGGCAGATGGACAGGGTCCCACTTCGCCTCCCTGTCTTTACTTCTCCCGAACTGTGACCCGGACCTGAAGGTGAGTACAGATGCCTGGGACCGTGAGGGAACCTTGAGAATGGAGATCATTAGTCAGGATGGTGCACAGAAAGTGGGTATGGGTCCCCAGCAACACCAAGACACCAGCAGGACCCTGACTGCCCAGCCCCGGCAGCTCTGACTGGTTCAGCACTATGTCGAGTCTGTTACCTGTGGCTAACGCGATGCCAGACCGATACACGCAACTTTATCTTTCACATGTGAATGAAATCATGATAGAAATATTGTTGTTTACCTCAACAAACTCTAACTATTCTATAACTTAAGTTTTTTCATCACAGGGTGTCTTAGGCATCTTTCATTTAACATCTGCTGATGGGCATTTGGGATATTTTCGGAAGCACTCTTCAATGAACACACTTGCATATATTACCTCTTTCAGAACTACATGAGAATATTTGTAGAATGCAGTCTCAGAATTCCTAGGTCCAGATTACCATTTTTAATAGATAGTACAAATGGCCTTCCTGAAAAGCTGTACAAGTTGATCAGAACTCACCGTAACTTCACCAACAACTAGGAACTGTTTAAATGTTTTAATTTGTGTGCCAATATTACAGGGTCTAGAATTTATGATAAAGGTTTTTATTCCATTTGGTATCTTCATTTCTGATGAGTAAAAATAAATTAATGTAAGTACCTGAGTAATCTGAATTTCAGAGAGTGCATTTACATTTATGTTTGACATTATGTCAATAGCAAAAAGAAAAGAGAGACCAAGGAGAAAAAAGCAGAAAGAAACCAAACAGGTGACAAGCACTGCCAAGCAAAGACCACAGGATGCCACCATGGGCTGCTGAACCGACGGCCTCGGGAAGCTCGGGGCAGTGAGGACCCAGGCGCACCTGTGCCGGCCACCAGGACCGTGGTGCTCACCGCCACCTCCCCCTGGGAGCAGTGACCACGTTTCAGCAGAACAGCATCATTCACATCAGTGTTGCTTGTACTGAAATAGTAATAGATCAAACAATGGATCTGGAATTTGCTTCAAAATATTTCAGGGAAAAAAAATAGTAGGTAGACAGCTAAAAAAAAATGAGCAAACATGGATGCAGGGAGGCTGAGAGGGCACGCAGCGCGCAGGGAGGCCTTGTCCGTGGAGACGCTCTCTTATGTAGATTGTAAATGCCCGTGATACAAGTTTACAAAGTTAGTATTCATTGGAAGCACTTCCAGAGGGCAGAGCAAGGAACTCTGAAAATGTCACTCATCTGTAACAGCAACAAGAACATCTGACAACAATTCTCTAAAATTAAATAAAGGCTAAAACCCACGAGCACTGACTTGGTGGCGTACCTGAAGGCTGTGTTCTCAGTGATGGACCCTGATTTAGCTCACTGTCCTCACACACCTACAGCCGGGCATTTGTGGACAACAGGGACAACGGGCACACGTTTAACACCACAGCCGCTGGAGGAGCACAACCACTTTGTAGCTAACCAGAGGCTAACCGAAAAGCACAAAGGAAAACTGAGGAAGAAGAGGTCCGTGAGAGGCTCTGACAAGCTCTGAAACCTTCCAGGAACTCTGCCCTTGGTTCTGCGTGACACACGAGCTGTGAGCGTACCAGGGAAGCGCCAGAAAGGGCCTCTCGTCCGGATATAGCGGTGAGGCGCTGCAGCAGCCGAGCAAAGGCTGAGGCGGAGCCGGAGCCTGCTCTCAGGGCACCCGCACAGGCCCCAGCACGGGCGGTCAGACTTACCGTCTCAAAGCACTTGAGGAAACCTCTGTTCTATCACTACCCAGGCATTAAGCTAAACTAGCAAACACTTCAGTAGCCCTACACAATGAAAAATACAAACTTTACAAAATTAATGCAGAAAACTCACAAAACAAAACCATAAAAGGTAACAACGGTAACAAAAAGCAACAACAAAGAATCTTGGGAAGGTGGTACTCTTATATGAGAAGTTGCTACACTGTATCATTTAAATTGTCTGGTTTTCGACAACAAAATGACAAGACAAGCAAACAGCAAAGTGCACACAGGCAGTGGACAGAAACTGCGCACAAGAAAGGCTGAACACTGCACGTGGACAACATGCCCTGTGACAAATGTGCTCAAAGAACTGAAGGAAACCAGGTCTCAGGAATGAAAGGGAAGCATAAGAACAGTGTCACCAGAGAAAAACAATAAAGAAATAGAAATTGTTAAAAAAAAACAAAACAAATTAGAAATTCTTGAGTTGAAAAGTACAGTAACAGAAGCAAAATTCACTAGAGGGGCAGAAGGATAAAGTAGTGTTAAAAACACATGAACTCTGATGGTCCATGCTACAACATGGATGAAACTTGGAAACATTATACTTTGAAAGAAAACAGTCACAACAGGTCACATATCACAGGGTTCTCTTGACATAAAATGTCTAGACTAGGCAGACCCACAGGCAGACAGGAGACTCGTGCTGCTGGGGGCTGGGGGTTAGAAGTAATGCTGATAGACACGGAGTTTGTGGAACATGTTCTAGAACTGGGTAGCTATGAGCGTGACACAACCTTGCGAATATACTAAAAACCACTGAATTGTACATATTAAAAGGGTGGATTTTATGGTGTAAGAATTACATTGTAAAACAAGTATTATAAAAATTAATTTTAAATTAATTGGTTGATGGTTTTATTTTTAATCTGTAAATCGGTTTGGGTTTTATAATTGTATGAGTTATAAGCAGTATCTAGCTTTATGTTTGCATATATTTAGGTAAGATCAAAGTTAAAATAGTTTGTAAGGAAGAAAGATCTCTTACCCTTTGAGACAATCTGGAGAGTATTATGCTAAACATAATGGAGAGTATAAGCCAATCAGAGAAAGACCAATATCAGATGATCTCACTTATTTGTGGAATATAATGAACAAAACAAGCTGATGAACAAAACAGACCCAGAGACATGGAAGTGGGGATCAGACTGACAAACCTCAAGGGAGGAGTGGGGCGGGGGGGTATAAACCGAAGAACTCACATGCTTCTGTGCACCACCAACGGACACAGACAACAGTGTCATGAAGGCGGAGGATGGGGCTGGGAGGAGGGTGTCAATGGGAGAAGAAGGACAAATGTCTGTAACAAAAATAAATTAATTAATTTAAAAAAATAATAATTTGTCAAGCCTGCCTGGGTGGCTTAGTTGGTTGCAACTTCATCCCATACACCACGAGGTTGTGGGTTTGCTTCGCGGTCAGGGTGTGCATGAGAGGCAACTGGTCAATGTTTCTCTCTGAAACACAGATGTTTCTTTCTCTCTCTCTCCCGCCCTTCTTCCTCCTTTTCTCTCTCTAAACTCAAAATCAATGGAAGCATGTCCTCAGATGAAGATTTAAGAAAATAAATAAGAATTTGTCAACGGTTGGCTGTGGTTAGGTATCCTAAAATTCATACTTCAGTTGTGGTTAGCTAACTTCTCATGTAGAAGCCCACAATTCTGAGGCAATTACTAAGTTGTTGTTTTTTTTTCTTTTTTACTCTCTATCAACAATAAACTTTAAATTAGCATAATTCAGGTTACAAATTGGTTTTCAATAAAGAAATTAGTGGTTGCTTGGTCAAAATAGTGATGCACAAATGAGCTCTCTAGAGAGAGCGGCAGCATGCAAGTATCTGAACTGGCCGTAATACCCTAAAGATGTGCCCTGGTATCCACAGAGTGTAACATTCAGGGACGCCTATAACCTCAACTTTTAAGATAAAGCGTAAGGCCTGCCAAGCTCTTGCACTGGAGGATTCAGGCTGATGTGACTGACAGGGTAACAGAAGCCGCCGGGGCTGGCAAACATCTTTCTGTAAAGGTCCATACAGAAGTGTTTTAGACGCTCTGGGCCACCTACCACTGTGACATGAGAGCAGCAATAACACAGGCAATGTGATGGCTGTTCCAATGAACCTTCACTGACAAAGACAAGGGTGGGACCCCCACTCTAGGACACTGTCTGCATCATGCAAGGTGTGGCCGGCACCATCTGTTAGAACAGGGAGGAGCCAGAAGCCACGCGTTGGGTCCACGCTCAGTGCTAGACCTCTGTGCAAGAAAATGTCCAGGCCTGGCTTCCGAGACAGGCTGCAGTGAGGCAGCCGCGGCGCAGCTCACCATCTACCTCTGGCTTCCACGACTATTACGACCAGGAAGAACCTCGCAACTATGTATCAGCACGTTAACAAGCTGACTCCGGCTTGCAGAGGGGCCTCGCAACTATGTATCAGCACGTTAACAAGCTGACGCCCGCTTGCAGAGGGGCCTCGCTGCTGCTTTAACCCTCTCACTTTGATGTGGACTACTAAGACAAGTGAACTTCATGACAAAAAAACCCTAGGAATAAAAATTAAACTTGTATTTTTAAAAAGTCACAGGGCATCAGACAGTAAGCACATGTGACGTAAGAGCCAGGCCGACGGCACCAGAGTTCCGAACAAGGGTATACGTGCTCCCGCCCAGAGCCCAGAGGGCTGTCCTCTCATGTTCTGAAACACTAACTTGCAAAGAATCAGAACCATTTGTGGAGAGGGAAGAAAGCAAAGGAGATAATGGCCCCTAACCAATTTTCTGTAGTTTTGCAATTAGTTCTTGACTTTCCTATTTTGACTTCCATCCACTTAACACTAACGTCATTCGGATCTCCCTGGACCCAGGCAGCCCGCGAGCTGGGCATCCCCAGACAAGGACTCACACTTTCCGTCCTCGGCACTCCTGCTGACCGGTCAGCCAGCCAGGGCCAGAGCTGCTCACCCGGACGCCGGCCGGCCAGTGCAGCAGACAGGAGGGAACGCCCATCCTACTCACCTACCCATCAAGAAATGCTCCTTTGACAATATAATTGACTATTATTAGAAGCTTGTGCATATAAAAGACCTCAGAGGACAGTTTCCCAAATCTTGAAGATTCTTAGGTGCCCTGGGGATGCCCAGGGAGAAAACGCAGCAGGGCCTGTGATCTGCCTCTTCAACAATGTGCCTTCACAGTGTTGCTGCGGACGCTCCTGAGCCACAGTGTGAGGCCGTCCAGGGCTGGCCCAGCTCACTTGGGCCTGGAGGCCCATCTGCGTGCTGAGGAGGAGGCCAGCACATCACTGCAATTCTGCCACCAATACACAGAGAGACGTAAACCACACAGAGAGTGGGGTTCCCTGCAGAAGTACCTACTGGACGTCATCAGGTGCCAGTCCTCAGGGCTGATTTCTCACCTCTGAATTCCCACCACCACATCCCTGCCAAGGAAATTCAAGGAAGCTTGTGCTCTTAGGCTGCTGAGTGAGTGAGTGTGTGTGTGTGTGTGTGTGTGTGTGTGTAAAAGACCAAAAGGCAGGACAGGAAGGGAAGGATCCAGGGAGTGACACAGGGGAACAGCCCGACAGAAGAAAAACTGTCCCAGTTTAGAGAAAAACTGGGTTACAGAGAAAAAAAACAAAAACATTTCCCAAGGTGTGTAGCGGGGAACCCTCTTGCCTTTAGCCACCCACATCTTCTCTCCCCATTCCAACCTTACTCCCTGATTCCTTGTTGGGGAGGTTCCTCTACACCCTAGAGTCTCAACGAGTGGACCTCCTTCTGCCTCCAGCTGCCAATCATATAAATGAGAACTTGGAGGAAAACATGACATCTCGTTCTGTCCCTAAGGTCAACAGTGACAGAAAACAGCAACCTCACTGGTACCGGAGGCCTTCGACAGAGCGTGATGTCAGTGGGCCCCCGGGATGGTAGCCCAGCCTGCTCTTGGCTGGGCCTGGTTTTCTCCTTTACACGGGGCAATTTAGTTGCAACTTATGCCTTGATACAGTTGTGAGGCAAGTCCTATTAAATAATCAAGCTCTGTTAAATGAGCAAGCTCTCCATCTCAGCCTCTGGCTCCAACCCATCAAATGAAGAGGGAAATTTTCCCCAAGGCTGAGAGCTAAGCTACTCACTGACAGCTGGAGGCTTAATTACTGCTTTTCTTAGCGCGTTAACTCCCACTAGCCAATGACTGCACATTCTATTAGCCATGTAAATTAACATGGGTCCAAAATTCACACAGAAATCAGCCCAAAATGAAAGTAAATCGGGCAGTGAAATTAAACAAAAATGCCACTGAGCACCACCGCACCCCTTTATGAGTTCTTTGCATTGGGATTTCAAAAAAGTTAAGTATTTGGTGAGGATGCACAGAAAACAACCTAATCCTTAGAGTCTCGAGACAGAGTGGGTGTCTCAGCTTCTCCACGCCTCGACCTCCCAGGACCTCCCAGCCCCCTGGGAGTGTCCTCCATGTCTAGCCCGCCTCAGTCCAGCTCCCAGGCACGCGACCCTGGACCGGCTTGTGTGCAGTCACCTGCACGGCCACAGAACGCCACACCTCAGAAAGGAAACGCCAGAGCAGTTCACTCCTGAGCACCGTCCACTTACCCCCACCTTTGTAGCAAACATGTACTTGTCCCGGAGCTGGAAGTCCCTCACTTCCTCGAGGACCACTTCCTGGTTCTCTCGGGACTGGAAGAAGTCTGTACTTCGGAAAACTGTGGAGTAACCGGAGGGTTCGTGCCGTTCAATGTAGATGGTGTTTGGCTTGTCATAGGGATCGATTCCCCTGCAAGGAAAAAAGAGTTGTTATCGTCATTTCCAAGTTTAATCGTTGGGGACACGAGGGTCTGCCATGCACACGGTCAGCTGGAACTGGGCCAGTCGCGGGGCGCTGAGCGCTGTAACTTGGCTCCTTGGCTGCCCCTCAGCTCAGCGCGAAGCAACCTCGAGCAGCGTGGAAAGAAGAGAACGTGAACCAGCCTCTCTACCTGCACAGTAACGCTTCTTCTTCTGTTATTCCGCCCTGAACACATCCTGCTACTCTGCGTTGTGCTGTTCACCTACTGCATGTGCCTGGGCTAAAATCCATGTCTCGTGTTTCTTCCTGCCTGAACTGGTCCTCGCTGCACTGGATCTGCCGACCGTGATTACAGAGACTGTTCCAAACTGGAAACTGCAGAGGGGTGAGCTCAAACCACCTGGGGAAGGTAGTGATCCCCCCAAAGACACCCGAACAGCAGCCGAGGGGACGACGAACCAGTCCTGGGTCCCCAGCAGTCCCAGGAACACCACGGCCTGGCAGCCCTCGCCAAGCAGGACGAAGAGCTAGCACACTGGAGAGGGTGAGGACGCAGCGACGAAGTGCTCTGTGTGCCTGTTCTCGTCTTTGCCACAATTAGAAGTACTGGTTAAAGTGCTTCCTCTTCTCCAGGTGACGTGCACATCAAAACGAGGCTGCTGGATACTCTTAAAAGGCAGAGAGGAAGGACGCTTTCCTCCGACATTTCGAGAACAAGCTCCCCTCTGCCCTTCCTTCCGAGCCAAAGGCAGCCCTGAGATCTCAGGCAGAGCTGGGCCTGTCCACCAGGGCAGTTCTGCAGCCCACACTTGGACCCCATCTCTGAGAGCCACTCTGCAGTTCTGTACTTCCAGCGGCTGGCCTTGCAGGGCTCGTGTTCACGCACCCCCTCTTCCCGTCCTGTCTGCCCTCGTCTGGAAATTCCAGCCTTACTCTGAGCTCAGTCACCAGTGCTCACCTGGCCGCACCTGCTCTCGCCTGCTCACTGACAGCCCCTCGGCGATGCTCCCCAGGGCACCGCGGGGTTTTTCCACTGTCCTGTCTGCCCGTCTCCAGCTCTGGGTAGCCCACACCACTGGTTCCCCGCTGCTCCGGGGCTGTTGACAAATGTATACTGCTGCTCTCTGAAGAGTCAGACAACACTCTCACTTCCTGCGGGGAATCCTAGGGGAAATCCCCCAAATAGCCTGAAATGCCCTGATACTATTCGTGCAATTACCTAAAATAAGATAAGCCAGTCCTCTCCCTGAAATAGCTGCATGTCTGGCCCTGGCTGGTTTGGCTCAGCGGTTAGAGCGTCGGCCTACGGAGCAGAAAGACCCGGGTTCGGTTCCTGCTAAGGGCATGTACCTCAGTTGCGGTTTGTCCCCGGCCCTGGATGGGGTCGTGTGGGTGGCAACCAGTTGACGTGTCTCTCTCTTGTCGATGTTTCTCTTTCTCTCTTCCTCCTCTCTCCCTCCCACTTTATTTGAAGATAAATGCAAGAAAAGTCCTCAGGTGAGGATTAAAAAAAAGAGCTGTCTGTCTGCACGGAGGCAGGCACAAAATACTGATTCCCAACCCTGTAGTACCTTTTTTGTGGTAATTTAGCTGGTTTGCCTTTCTAATATATGGTCCCTGAACAAATAAGTAAAAGAGCAATTTGTCCCTTCCAAATTCAAATAAAGCACAAGCAACTTCTGACAGTATTCCTTGGGTAGAGAGTGTACTTGAATGAGGTTATGGTTGTCATCTCACTAAGCCTCTACAACTTCTGCCCAAGGGGAATAACAAACTGCCCCCTCTGCAAAGGGGCCACCGGCCCGCTGTGAGGGCTGTGATGCCCGCACCTGCACTGGCCTCAGTTACTAGGAACCAGTGCAATTCTGAGACACCCCTCCTCAAACAGGGTGCTGCCCCGCTGAGCCATCACACGTAAGACTGAAACTAAAAGTGAAAAGACAAATGACAAACTGGAAACCATAAACGAACACACAATCTATCTCATATCACAAAGGACCAGCCTCAGATAGATAAAGAGCTCCTGGAAATCAATAATAAGACAACTACAAGTCCAACAGCATGACACACATGTCACAAAAAAGATACATAAATGAACCTCAAGCAGGTTAAAAGATGTTAAAAACCATTCATTATAAGAAAAGTACAAATGAAAGCTACACTGACATACTGTTTCCTAACACGCTGGCTTGGAGAGAGGCACAATTCTGTGTTGTTGAAATGAGAGCAAATCTGAGACTTTCTATAGAAAACTTGGCAATCTCCACTGAAGTAACAATGTCAAAGCTTCATCCTCTGGGGACTTATCAATGCGCAAAACTGACACGAGTCCCTGCCCTTGTGTGGCCTGATTTCAACAAAGAGAGAAAGTCAAATAATAAGCACGATAACCGCATATTAGAATGATGCAGAAGAGAACAGGTCAGGGTGCCGCAGAAGGAGGAGCTGCCGTTTGAACAGGACCTTCAGAGTACACCTCATTTAGAGGTGTTGTTTGAGCAGTGAATATATCTGTAGTGAGAGCATTCTAGGCAGAGAAAATAACAAGAGCCAAGTGCTGAGGTAGGTTGTAGCCTGGCATTTAATCTGAGCTAATCATGATGCATAGACCTGTGAAGAGACCATGCAAACATCTCGAGAGAAAGTGTTGGCTGTTCTCACCAGCCAGGCCCAGAGTGTGCAGCCCGCTGACACTGGTACCAATGTGAATAAGACCCTTCTTCTCTCCAACAATCCATCCTCTTCCTAGTCTCCGCACGGCCCCCCACAGAGCGTTCAAGAACGGGCCAGTAAGGGGGTGAGGGAAGGAGACGCCCAAGGTGGAGACATGAAGGAAACGGTCCTCCCACCCCCACCGCAGACGTCCAGCCTGGAGCAATTTCAAGAGAAAGAAGGGAAAAGGATTTTAAGTTGAATGCTGAATAAAGTTTAGTGATTTAAGTAATAATAATGATTTTGTAAAAAGAGTCCGAAGCACAGGAACTGCATGATCTGAGGGTTTGAAAGGCTCTGCGAACGAGCTGTGGAAGGCCCAGGGCAGACGCACGGCGGGCGGGGACGGGGAGCAGTGGTGGTGGCGGGAGCCAGGCAGCGCTGGCGAGAGCGCCCTGGGCACACACTGCAGGCGGAGCAGGACTCCTGACGGCGGAATGTGGCCACGAGGAAACACGCGTGGAATCAGACGGCTGAGTATTCTGCACTGAGCAACGGAAACCGAAATGGGGAAGATCCAGAGTTCATGTGGGACGGGTCAAGTTCGCTGTGGAAACGAGTGGTGACCCACCATCCCAGCAAGGGTGCCCCGGGAGTCTGTCCTGAGCATTCGCCTGTACCCGCAGAGACCCGCGTGTTCAAAATGCCAGGCTGGTCCCTGTACCGGCAACAGATCAGAGCAGCTAGGACGAGGAACACCTGGACTTAAAAAACTACTGCCGATTGCACTTTCCTTCTCAAAAACCTAAAAAGGCTTCTATTCCCTTTCAGGATCGAGTCCGAAACCCTTTTATCAAACTACAGATTCTGATACAAACACCTTCTCCAACTCTAGCCGACACACTGCCCAAAAATAAGACTGTTTTGCACCCAAGCAACAGTGTCTCATCTCTGCTTTGCCCATTGTGCTCAGGCACATTGAAAACAGCTGCGCCCGCTGCTCCCACACACTCCGCGTGCGCCTGCACACTCCACATGCTCCCGCACGCTCCGCGCAGCTGCGCCCGCACACTCCACATGCTCCCACATGCTCCCGCACGCTCCGCGCAGCTGCGCCCGCTGCTCCCGCACACTCCGCACAGCTGCTCCCGCACACTCCGCGCAGCTGCGCCCGCTGCTCCCGCACACTCCGCGCAGCTGCTCCCGCACACTCCGCGCAGCTGCGCCCGCTGCTCCCGCACATTCCGCGTGCGCCCGCATACTCCACATGCTCCCATACGCCCCGCGCAGCTGCGCCCACACACTTCACATGCTCCCACGCGCTCCGCGCAGCTGCGCCCGCACACTCCGCGCAGCTGCCCCTTCCTGTTGTTATGTCCTGGTGCTGGCAATGATCTGCCCATCTGGAATATGTCCCTCCTCTGCCTTCTCATGGTATGCCCATGAATTATGAGCTTAATGTGTTTTATGTGCAAAAAAAAAGGTCTTTCCACCCTGGCCTGGTAGCTCAGTTTTTAAGCACAGTCCCAATACACCAAGATGCAGGTTCAATCCCTGGTTTGGCCATATCCAAGAATCAACCAATGAATACATAAGTAAGTGGAACAATGAATCAATGTTTTTCTGTCTCTCACTCTCTCAAAATCAATTAAAAATATCTGTTTTTTATGTTTTTAAAAACAAAAATGTCTTTCCTTACCTCCTAAACTGCAATCTTCTTAACTCTATCTATAAATTAGTCGACTTCAATCCCCTGCAGCATATTTAGCATGTTTTGTATTCAGCAGACATTCAAACAACTACGTTATGAATGAACAAGTGAATTGATTTTGTAGAGAGAAGAAGCCCCACTTCTGATATGACGCTCTTAGCATGAAGGTCTTTAGAAACTCGCACACGCCCAGAGCGCAAAGATTCCCTGGGGCTCCCTGGAGGACTAAAACCCAGAGCTCTGCGGCCTCTGAGAGAGAACCCTCCTTTGTCACCTGCTGGGCATCGGTGACCCTGGCCGTCCAGCTCCCAGGTCTGGACAACAGACCTCCTGGACCAACGCTCCCCTTCTCAGGTCAGGCAGGTTTGTCCACGCGAGCTGGGACTGAGAAGCGAAGATTACGTAATTCAAGTTTCTTAGGTGACAGGACTTACCAAGAGAAGGACTTCACATGTTCCTGAATCATGACCCACGTCTGGCCGAAGTCGTCCGACTTCCAGAGCTGCGAAGACCAAAGCAACAAGCAGCAGCTGTGACGCAGAACCCGCACAGCCCAGGCGGCGCGGCCCAGCCACGGAGACCGAAGTGGCTGCTGGCTGTGAGGACAGACCCGGGACCCGCCAACAGACCAGGGCAGGAAGGGAGCAACTGACTGGCACCTCTGTGTTTCCTGGTTACTAAGGTCTCAGTGGAAACTGGAATTTAAAATGATTGCGACTTGTCTCCCATTTAGGGATCATCAGAAATTTTATTTTACTCAAGAGTAGCCTTCGGACAATGGTAAAAACAAAAGGGTGACACTTGGTACCTCTTCCCTGGGACAGTGTCCTTAAACATGCACCACGGCCCTGGCAACTAGAGCTGAAAGGAGAGGACCCGGCTGAGTACAGAGCCGAGAGCACCCGAGAGGACCGGCTGATTGTGCCGGGCACAGCTCTGAGCAGCCGCCTTGCCCAAGCCCCTCCACCCCAAACACATGACCCGAGGGCCCCTGGCCCTGGCACCATGTGTTAAGAAGCAGCAGCCCTGGCTGGTTTGGCTCAGTAGTTAGAGCGTCAGCCCGCGGACCAAAGAGTCCCAAGTTTGGTTCCCGCTAAGGGCACGGACCTTGGTTGCAGTTTGTCCCCGGCCCCGGTTAGGGTTGTGTGGGTGGCAACCACTCACTGTCTCTCTTTCATGTTGATATTTCTCTCTCTCTCTTCCCCCTTCTCTCCCTCCTGCTCTATTTGAAGATAAATGCAAAAATGGCCTTGGGTGAGGATAACAAAAAAAAAGAAGTAGATCAAAAATTAGAATAATCCACATAACCTGGTAAACTGACCCTGCCCATACTTGGGCTACTCCCCAAAGCATGTGAAGGTGAACAGATCATGTTTCGGCTAAACAACATGCAAAGAAACAGAAATGTTCCAAGTTATTCTGAGCAAAGTCATTTAAAACTCATCATAGATCCAATGCTACAGGGTCCCAGGTTTCTTGACTGGGCAAGTTTCAACCCTGAAATAGAAATGCTTCTCAGTCACTCTCCTCGTGGCTCACCTGCCCTTCAAACGTGGACTAAAGGAGGAAATACACGCACTGATGACATGTGTACATGCACACGCACACAAAAGAGAGTATTAATGTCAACGGTGAATCAAATAACTGGTAGGCGGCAGCAGTGTGCTCCGGGCGGAGGACAGAGAGGTGCGGCAGAGCTCACAGGAGGCAGAGCTGACTCCAGGCCTCTCTGCCGGGCTCCGAGACTAACCAGGGCACGTCTGCTCCCAAAGGGCGTCGTGCGGACCAGCAGGGCCTGCCCTGCACAGGCTGCTCTCTGCCGGACACAGACTAAAGTGCCGGGGGGGGGGGGGGGGGACAACGGAAGTGTCTTTCCTTAGCCATCAAAGTAAAACAGCTACAAGGGCTGAGCCTGACCATGAAGGAGGTGGGGCCAGAGCGAGGTCACTCGGAGGTCACACAGTCCACAGGGATGAGGGCGGGACAGAAACAGGAGCAGCCACCTGGCTGGGCTCAGAAGCTCTCTTACCTGCTTGTTGGGGTGAGACCTGTCAAAGCCCAGGAGCAGGCTGGAGGCCGTACTGTGCAGGAGGAGATCCGCGGCCCGGAACGGGATGGGAAAGCCTTGGATAGTATTGCAGAAGTCGAACGTGATCCAGAGGTACTGGGCATAGGCGTCTGCAAAGATGTACTGCGAGAGAGAGGAGGTGGGCTCAGAGCAGGACCTGGCTGGAGCTCCGGTCCCCCTCCAGCAGGGCGTGAGTGCCCACGCAGGGCCGACGTGCACCAAGGCAGCGCCCGGGCGCACAGGGCGCACACAGCTTTCTGAGCTCCCAGCAACGGGCGAGGCTGGTGCACACCCACCAGGCTCTGCGAAGGGCAGATGCGGGACCGGCCAGCGAGGAAGCCCCACAGTGCTCTGGTTTCACCAGGTCCTGAAGCTAGTCAAGCCCATCTTGCTTTCAAAGGACAATTATTCTCACTCCCTGATGAATCACTGGGTCACAATGGGAGGGTGGCTACCGAGAGCTGGAGCAGAGAAGTCCTGTTCCTCAGACTGGCTGCAGGAGGATGGGACCCTGGTGGGTCTGTGACACACCCTTCCAGGAAATCCAGGAACACGGACCTGGCCCTCAGGCCAGTGTGCTGGGTGACTAGGACACTCTGACAACCGAGCTGTCCCCGCTGGCAGGCTCACTGCGGCACAGGGGGAAGTCATCCCCTCAAGAGGGCCTCACCTTATTTCTGCTTAGTGAACTTTGAACAAGTCTGGCTACAGAATGATGGCCAGCCTAGAGCTGTTGAGGGGAAGGCCCAAGGCAATTCCCTGTAACAAATGAGCACTTGAACAGCCACCAGGGCCCAGACCCTGGGGGTGCCTGATCGAGCACAGCCCACCAGAACGCGGGAAAGGAGATCCAGGCGAAACCAGTGAATCCTGTGAAAGCAAAGGCCACCGACTCACTGGCTGGTGAGATCAGGAATGACTGCATGTCCGATCTGAGCCTCGAAGGGCAGCAAGACTCTCACAGGGCAGTCTCAATTGGGGAACAAAGGAAAAAAGACAGCATGGGTTCGAGGACAGCTCTGGAGAGCCTAGGGACATGAGGAGAAACAAGGCCAGAAGCAGAGAAGACAGCAGAGGTCTGCAGGACAGCCCTGCGCCCATGGGAGCCAGGGGCTCCGTGGTCACGGCGCCTGCAGGACAGCGCTGCGCCCAGGGGAACCAGGGGAACCAGGGGCTCCGTGGTCACGGCGCCTGCAGGACAGCCCTGCGCCCAGGGGAGCCAGGGGCTCCGTGGTCACGGCGCCTGCAGGACAGCCCTGCGCCCAGGGGAACCAGGGGCTCCGTGGTCACGGCGTCTGCAGGACAGCCCTGCGCCCAGGGGAACCAGGGGCTCCGTGGTCACGACGTCTGCAGGACAGCCCTGCGCCCAGGGGAACCAGGGGCTCCGTGGACACCATGACCAGGAACTAGAGCAGGGGAACCAGTCTCTGGAATCCCAGAAACCAACCATCCAGGGAACCAGTCCGAACATGCTCCTTAATTGGCCCCACCTGACGTGGCCTCAGCTCCGCATCCTCTCAGCATGAACACTGTGCACTTGACCCGGGCTCCGCTCCTTCCCACGCTCCCCCAGATGGAGACTGAACTTCCAGAAACTGTGTTCTGTGCTCCTTCCCGGTGCCTCCTCCCGCATCTAGCGTAACTCCAAGCTCCGTAGAAGCCTAAGGAAAACTAACTCTAAAGGTTGGCAAGTGTTTTGAAAGTAAAAACTACTCTAAGCAAACACAATCCTATGAGAACCGTCATAATGTTTTGCATAGAAGTCTTCCCTAGAAACAGCTTAGCCCATTCTCCTGCTCTGAAACCACTCTGGTCACCGGGGAAGAGAGGGCTCTAAATTTTAAAAGAAGTCTGCCCATTTTTTAACATTTTATCTTTATTCTTAAAAGTATTACAAATGTCTCCCCTTTTTCCCCCATTGACCCCCTCCTACCCACTCCTGCCCCCCTCCTGCCTTCCTCACGCTGTTGTCTGTGTCCATTGGTTATGCACATATGCATAGAAATTATTTGGTTTATCTCTTCCTAGCCCCCTCCCCCCTTCCCTTTGAGGTTTGTCAGTCTAACAACCAATTTGTCCTCCTTAATCCCTTCACCTTTTCCACTCATCCCCCAACCCCCTCCCATCTGGCAACCAACAAAAAGTTCTCTGTATCTATGAGTCTGTTTCTGTTCTGCCGCTCATTATGTTTGTCGATTCCAACATTGATAGATATGTACTCATTGCCATTTTACTGTTAAGTGTTTTTATCATCTTCTTCAAGAAGACCCGTCAATATTTCATGAAATACTGGTTTGGTGGTGATGAACTCCTTTAGCTTTTTCTTGCCTGGGAAGCTCTTTATATGTCCATTGATTCTACAAGATAGCTCTGCAGGACAGAGTAATCTTGGTTGTAGGTCATTGCTTTTCATCACCTTGAAACTCTTGCCACTCCCCTCTGGTCTGCAAAGTTTCTTTTGAGAAATCAGCTGACAGTCTTATGGGAACTCCACTGTAGGTAACAAACTGCTTTTCTCTTGCTGCTTTTAAGATTCTTTGTCTTTAACCTCTTGCATTTTGATGATGATGTGTCTTGGTGTGGCCTCTGTGGGTTCATCTTGTTTGGGAATCTCTGTGCTTCCTGGAGTTGTATGTCTGTTTCCTTCACCAAGTTAGGGAAGTTTTCTGCCATTATTGTTTCAAATAGATTTTCAATTTCTTGTTCTCTCTTTTCTCTTTCTGGCACCCTATGATGCTAATGTTGGCACGCTTGAAGTTGTCCCAGCAGCTCTTTACACTGTCCTCATTTTTTGGATTCTTTTTCCTTTTTGCTGTTCTGATTAGGTGTTTTTTGCGTCCTTATATTCCAAATCGATGGTTTGTTTCTCAACTTCACCTACTCTACTATTGATTCCCTGGAAATTATTCTTTATTTCAGTTAGTGCATCCTTCATTTCTGACAGGTCACTTTTTATGCTCTTGAGGTCCTCACTAAGTTCCTTGAGCAATCTTATAACCAGTGCTTTGTACTCTGCATCTGTTAGATTGCTTATCTCCATTTTGTTTAGTTCTTTTCCTGAATTTTCGTTCTGTTCTTTCATTTGGGACATGTTTCTTCTTCTCCCCATTTTGGCTGCCTCCCTGTGTTTATTTCTATGTATCAGGTAGAGTTGCTACATCTCCTGGGCTTCATAGTGTGGCCTATTGTAGTAGGTGTCCTGTAGGGTCCAGTGGCACAGCCTCTCTGGTCACTCAGCTGGGCCCTCAAGGTGCACCCCTTGTGTGGACTGTATACCCTTCTGTTGTAACTGAGTCTTGACTACTGTTGGCATGTCACTAGAAGGGGTTTATTCAGGCTGACCAGCTACAAGAACTGGCTGTGACCACCGACCTCTCACTACCCTGGAGAATCAGCTGTGCAGGGTCCACCACCCAGAGCAAGACTTACTTCATCAGGGCTCTGGTACCCACTGAGCCCACTCCTGGAATGTGTCACTTGTGGAGGTAGGTGGTTGGTGCGGCTTCGACGTGGTCTGGGGGTCCACTGGGTGTGCTGGCTCTGGAGCAAGGTCAGCCTCTGCCTGTGTTCTCTCCGGGGCCACCAGGCATAAGCTACATAGTGATCTGCAGATGGCTACTTCTTGTGCTGGGCTTGGGGGTGCCAGGCAAAGCCAAGATGTGAACCAAGGCTGGCTGCTCCTAGTGCTGGGCCTGGGGCCACTTAGTGAGAGGTACGGGGCTCACTGAGGCCAGATGCTGCTTGTTTGAGAGAGTTTAGGAAAATCTGAAGCAGGAGCCCAGACAGGCCAATCCTATGGTAAAGCCACTGGAAACAGCTTGGGTGGGCCAGAAGTTGAGTGGGGCAGGGCTTCAGGGAATCACCAGGGTAGGTCAAACAGTGTGAGCCAGGTGCTGGAGTCCAGATGTGGCAGCTGTCTGCCACTGCTGTGGGGGAAGGGCTCACCAAATGACCAACAGCCTTCACCAGCTCATCTGTCCGGGAGAAAGCTGCCTCTCCAGCTCTCACCTAATGCCAAACAACTCCGTTCTTCCCTGTATGTCTCTGGTGCCTTTCAAGCTGCCTTCCCCAAGCTGGAGACCAAAGGGAGCTGGTCCAAGTAAAACAGTGCATGGGCCCTTTAAGAGGAGCTGCCTGGGACTCCAGAAGCCTCAGCCTCCCTCAGCCTCAGTGTCCGCTGGTTTTACAGCCAGAAGTGATGGGGATTCTCTTCCTGGCCCTGGAACCCTGAGCGGGACACCTGGTGTGGGACGGGGACCCCTCACTCCTCAGGGAGGACCTTGCCAACTGAGGTGTCCTCCTGATTTTTATCTGCCACACATGGGTGTGGACCCCTCCTACCAGTGTCCATGCAGCTTCTTTGATTTCACAGTTGTAGGACTTCTATTCAGCTGGATTTCAGGTGGTTCTGACTGATGGTTGTTCTATAGTTTAGTTGTAATTCTGATGTGGTTGTGGGAGGAAGCAAGGACCATGTTTACCTACACACCATCTTGACTGGACTCCTCTGCACATTTCTTTTTTCTTTATTGATTTTAGAGAGAGAAGAGGTAGAGAGAGAGATAGAAATATTGATGAGAGAGAACACCAAAGGCCTCCTCCTGCGTGCCCCCCACTGGGGATTGGGCCCACAACTGGGGCATGTGCCCTGACCGGGAATCGAACCGGCGTCCTCTTGGTGCAGGGTCGACGCTCAACCACTGAGCCACACAGGCCGGGCATCTCTGCCCATTTTTTAATTGGCTTGTTTGTCTTCCTTTTGTTGAGTTGTATGAGTACTCTATATATTTTGGAAATCAACCCCTTATGCTATGTATCATCGGCAAATATGTTCTCCCAAACAGTGGTTTCCCTCTTCATTTTGATGCTGGTTTCTTTTGCTTTGCAGAAGCTTTTTAGCTTGATGAAATCCCATTTATTTTTTCCTTTGTTTTCCTTACCCTAGGTGATGTATCGGTGAAAATTCTGCTACGTGAGATGTCTGAGATTTTACTGCCTACATTTTTTCTACAATTTTTAGGGTACTTCTCCAAACAGGACATACAAATAGCCAAGAGACATATGAAAAAAATACTCAACATCACTAATCATCAGAAAGATGAAAATTAAAACAACTATGAGGT